CCACGCCTGGCTGATTTTTTTATTTATTGTAGAGATGAGGTCTCGCTGCCCAGGCGGGTCTCGAACCCGTGGGCTCAGGCAATCCACTCATCTCAGCCTCCCAAGCGCGGGATTACAGGCTGAGCCACCAAACCCGGCTGGTAGGTTTAGTTTTGTAAGAAAGTGTCAAACTGTCTTCCAAAGAGCTGTACCATTCTGGACTCCTGCCAGCAATGAATGAGAATTTTTGTTGATCATAGATCAATCAGATACATTTCCCATATGAGTGAGATCATGTGGTATTTGTCCTATGCTTGGCTTCTTTCACTTAGCATAGTGTCTCTAGGTTGATCCATGTTGTCACAAATGACAGGATTTCATTCTTTTCATGTCTGTATTCCGTTGTGTTTGCACACATTTAAAAAATTCATTCATTCATCTGTTGGACACTTAGGTTGGCTCCCTATCGTGGCTATTATAAACAGTGCTACAATAGAGGAGTACAGATATTTATTTAACATACTAATTTCACTTATTTTGAATATATACCCAGTAGTAATTGTTAGATCATATGGTAGTTGTATTTTTAATCTTCTGAGTGCAGTGGCACAATCATAACTTACTGCAGCTTTAAGCTCCTGGGCTCAAGCAATCCTGCCACTATGGCCTCCCAAGTAGCTGGGACTACAGAAGTGCACTTCTGTCTCTGGCTATAGTGTTCTTTTTTTGTTGTTTACTTGTCTGGTTTTGGTATCAAGGTAATGCTGGCCTTGTAGAATGAGTCTGGAAGAATCCCCTACACAGTAATCTTTTGGATCCATTTAAGAAGAATTGGTGTTAGTTCTGTAAATGTTTGGTAGGATTCAGCAGTAACTACATCATGTCCTGGCCTACACCTTGATGGGAGACTTGTTTTTCTAGCTCCTTGTGGTGCAATGATAGGTTGTTTGAGGTCTCATTACTTTTTTGATGTAGGCATTTATTGCTATTAAAAACTTCCCTCTTAGAACTGCTTTTGCTGCAACCCATAGTATTCTGTGTTTCCACTTTCACTTGTCTCAGGACATCTTTAAATTTCCTTTTTAATGTCTTCATTGACCCATGATTGTTCAGAAGGATGTTGTTTATTTATTGATTGATTGATTGATTGATTGATTGATTGAGTTGGAGTCTTACTATGTCGCCCAGACTGGAGTGCAATGGCCGCTCCCAGCCACCGCAGCCTCGACCTGCTGGGCTCCGGTGATCTTTCTGCCTCAGCCTTTCGAGTAGCCGGAATTATAGGCGCACGCTACCACGCCCGGCTGATTTTTTGACTTATTGTAGAGATGAGGTCTCACTGCCCAGGCGGGTCTCAAACCCGCGGGCTCAGGCAATCCACTCACCTCCGCCTCCCAAAGGCGCGGGATTACAGGCTGAGCAACCGAGCCCGGCTAGGATGTTGTTTAATGGTGTTCTCTGAACTTCCTGAATCTGTGGTTTTGTGTCTGGCCTTAATTTAGGAATTTCTCAGTCATTAACGTTTCAAATATTTTCTTTATTTTCCCTCTGGTAGTCTCATTATGTGTAAGTAACACCCTTTTGTGGTCCCACAGTTTTTAGATACTCTGTTCTTTTTTTGTTTCTACTTTGTTCTCTTCGAGTTTCAGTTTTGGAGGTTTCTGCTGATATATATTCAAGCTCAGAGATTCTTTCTTCAGCCATGACAAGTCTACCAATATGCCCATCAAAGGTATTCGTATCTGTTAGGGTACTGTTTTTTTTTTAATCTCTACTATTTCCTTTTTATTCTTTCTTAGGATTTTCATCTCTCTGATTTCATTGATTATCTGATTTTTCTTTTCTTTTCTTTTTTTAATGCTGTCTACTTTATCCATTAGAGCCTTGGCATATTAATCATAGTTGTTTTAAATTCTATGGTTTGAAAATGCCAACATCCCTGCCATGTCTATTTCTGATGTTTGCTCTGTTTCTTTGAAGTGTGTTTTTGCTTTTTAGTATGCCTTGTAATTTTCTCTTGATAGCTGGACAGGCTCAATGAACTGTTGTAAGTAGGCCTTTAATAATGAGGTGGTGGCCGGGCTAGGTGGCTCAGCCTGTAATCCCAGCACTTTGGGAGGCCAAGGTGAGTGGATTGCCTGAGCCCACGGGTTCGAGACCTGCCTGGGCAACTTGACGAGACCTCATCTCTACAACAAATCAAAAATTAGCTGGGTGTGGTAGCACATGCCTGTAGTTTCAGCTATGTGGAAGGCTGAGGCGGAAGGATCACCGGAGCCCAGGAGGTCGAGGCTGCCGTGGCCGGGAGTGGCCATTGCACTCCAGTCTGGGTGACAGAGTGAGACTCCAACTCAAAATAATAATAATAATAATAGGTAGTAAGGAATAGGGGGAGGGGAAGCATTCTATGTCCTATGATTAGGTCTCAGTCTTTTAGTGAACCTACTATGCCTTTAAACTGTGACCTTTACAAGTATTTCTAAGGTTTTTGTTGTTGTTGTTGTTCCCCCTTAGGTGGGACAGGATGGCTGCTACAGTGGGCTGGAGTTAAGTATTTCCCCTCTGCTACAGTGAAAACTGGAATTTGGTTTTCCTTTCTCCTAGATCAGTTAGGCTCTGATAAAACTCAAGCAGGTTAGGCACTCTTTAACTAGTTTCTCCTGAGGGCAGAATCTATTACAAACAGAATGCTCTGTGCATTTCAAAGTGGTTCCTTTTTTCCTCCCCCTGTCAGTGGTATGAAGGGGTTTCTCCCTAATATTTACTATTATTTTTCTAATTACAAGAAAATTTGCTCAATTTTATGTCAAGATTCAGTTAAAAACAATTGTAAATTCCTAATGATGTCCAAGTAAATATAAATATAGCTACCAATCTAGGCAGTTTAATATTTTCTTTATAAGCTCCAAAACTCTAGAGCTCCTGGTTGAGCTCCTGGAGGTAAAATTCACAGAAGCTTGCCCCCCACCCCACCATAACTAAAACTCCCAGGAGTTTTTTGTTTGTTTGTTTGTTTTTGTTTGTTTGTTTTTGAGTTGGAGTCTTACTCTGTCACCCAGATTGGAGTGCAATGGCCTCTCCCGGCCACCGTAGCCTGGACCTGCTGGGCTCTGTGATTCTTCCACCTCAGCCTTCCAAGTAGCTGGAACTACAGGCGTGTGCTACCATGCCCAGCTATTTTTTATTTATAGTGGAGATGAGGTCTCGCCAAGTTGCCCAGGCAGGTCTTGAACCCGGGCTCAGGCAATCCACTCACCTCGGCCTCCCAAAGTGCTGGGATTATAGGCTGAGCCACCGAGCCCGGCCCCTATCCCAGGAATTTTTAACTCTCAGACTTGTCCATATTTATCCTCCAGCAACTTTCAGGTTTTCCTACTCTTAGCACTAGTTCCCATGGAGATTTCTGCTCCAGCATATTGAGATTCTCTGTACATGCCTGTTTGTCTCTCTGGTTTTAGAGACAGTGGTTTTTCCTATGACCTCACTTCTCTTAGGGATCTAAAAATAATTGTTGATTTTTTTTTTTTTTTAGTACAGTTATTTTATTTCATTATTTATTTTTTTGAATTGGCGTCTCACTGGAACCACAGACGCGCGCCACCATGCCCGGTTAGTTTTTTTATTTACTGTAGAGTGAGGTCTTGCCACTTTGCCCAGGCGGGTCTCGAACCCCTGGGCTCAGGCAATCCTCTCGCCTTCATCTCCCAAAGTGCTGGGATGACAAGGCGTGAGCCAGCGCGCCCCTAATTGTTGATTTTTAAAGTTTGTTCAGCTTTTTACTAATTGTTAGGATGGAATGGCAACTTTCAAGCTTCTTATCTGCAGAACTAAAAACCAGAAAACCCACACAATTATTTTTAACAATCTGTTTGATCCCTGAGGTTATGAGAGACTGAAGTTATTTTAAATCACACTCACTCATGCACCCAATGGAGTATCTAGCCATGATTTATTTACAGTAAGTCCCCTACATATGAATCTTTAAGTTTTGAACTTTCAAAGACTTGAACATGTGTCTGCATGCCCAATCACATAAGTTAGTTTATGATTTGGAGTACATTGTCACTTGGAAGAACCTTTGCTCACAGTTTGTTCACGATTGTCATGGATTTGAGAAGGTGGATGAGGAGTCCAAAGAGGTCTTCAGCAACTTAGTGACCTTCAGCAAGAAGCTGGGACTAGATCTGCCAGAGAACAACTTCACTGAACTCTTTGCTGTACAACACGAGGTGCTTACTAATGAAGACCTGATGGAATTGGAGGCCCAGAGAAAGGATGAAGAGAGACAAGAGAAAAAAGAAGTAACTGAGAACCAAAGAGATCCATGATGCAGGAAATGGCAAGGAGATTTTCTTTATTTGAGGAAGCACTGTTAGTTTTTGAGTCACAGGACCTGAACATAGAATGATACACAAAGGTTGCAGTAGCTGTTCAGAGGGTAATCCAGTGCTACTGTGTCATCTATGATGAGAAAGAAAGAGCTACTACTCAGATATCACTGAGTCATTTTTTTCAAGAGAGTAGATAGACTTGAATCCAGCAAGGAACCAGAACCTGTGCCATCAATGTCAGATGTGAATGAAATTGCAGCTTGCCCTCCATCTCCTACTGCTGATGGTCCTTCAGCTCTACCATCTCCTACCTCCTCTCCCTCCTCAGTCAGTAACTCTTCTTGCCTGTTCACTCGATGCAAGCCCCTATATGCCAGTTGTTGTGTGGTACTATACTTTTCAAGGTACTATACTGTAAGATTTTAAATGCTTTATTTTTTGTGTTTTGTAATGTATTATTTGTGTGAAAAGTATTATAAACCTATTGCAGCATAGTGCTATACAGCTGATTGTGTTAGTTGTGTGTCTAGACTAACTTTGTTGGACTTACAAACACTTTCTGAATGAAACTTGCTTGTATGTAGGGGATTTATTGCAGATTTTTGAGAATGTCTCAGTCTGGTACTAGGATAACAATTTTTTATATTTGCACATTTGCTAATCCCAAGAAAATATACTCAATTTGATGCCAAGATTTGATTTAAAAAAACTGTAAGCCGGGCTCGGTGGCTCAGCCTGTAATCCCACGCCTTTGGGAGGCTGAGGTGAGTGGATTGCCTGAGCCCATGGGTTCAAGACCTGCCTGGGCAGGCGAGACCTCATCTCTACAATAAAATTTAAAAAAATTAGCTGGGCATGGTAGCGCACTCCTGTAATTCTGGCTACTCGGAAGGCTGAGGCGGAAGGATCGCCGGAGCCCAGCAGGTCGAGGCTGTGGTGGCCGGGAGCGGCCACTGCACTCCAGTCTGGGCGACAGAGTGAGACTCCAACTCAAAAACAAAAACAAAAACAAAAACATAAAAAACCTGTAAATTCCTAAGGGTACCCAGGTAAATATAAATATTGCTACCAATCTAGGCAGTTTAATGTTTGCTTTGTAAGTTTCAAAAAACCTAGAGAAAAATGGCATATTTAGATTTTATTTTGATTTCAATTTTTCATTATAACGCACTCCAGTTCATAGTTTTAGAGCTCTTCTCTATTTCTATCTCCATATTAAAAATTGTACAGAATATAGGGGGAAAAGACACATGTCCTCTGCATACAGGGAGCTGAAAATCTAGCCTTGAAAATTATATTCAATGCATAGGAAAGAGAGAACAATATAAGGACTAAAATAGGAGTATGGCTTGGAGCCCTGAAAGTCAGCCTCTCTTACCTCCAGGGAAGTGCAGGTCAGAACTGTTCCTATGGTCACATGTCGGCTGTACTGTTTGAACTGCTGGAGCCCATCTTCTACTGCCAGCTGCAGAGAAGTACCTTGTGGTCTGAAACAACCTTCCCTCTGTAACATGCGGAGCTCTGAGATGCAGGTCTGCAACCTAGCAAAGTTCCCTTTTACTTGCTGCAGAGAAAAATAAATCAAAGATACAAATCTTTAGGGACCCAGGTTTCAGATTAATTGACAGTCTGAATTCATTATCAATAACTCCTCAGCAGTCCCTTCCCTTCCTGGAAATCTGTTTATTTCACTGACATCTACTAAAAGCCTACTGTGTTCAAGGCACTGCACTAACATGTTCCCTACACCAGAGGAAGGAAAATTTGCAGCTGTAAAGGTTTTGGCTATGTGGAGTTATTGAAACAGGAAAGGATGTGCTTTAACTCATTCACTCACTCAAAGGAAGGTATAGTTGTAATGGCTTAGTTTTACTTTGGGGTGACCTGCAAACTGGAGGCCCAGCTTTAGACATTATCTTCATTTAATAGTCAGTCTAGTCTCATTCTGATTCGACTCTATGATGATACAGTTGGAGGAATTTAGTAGTTTCTGAAGTTCAGGAAAAGATGTGGTACAAAGAAGTCTGGGCTGATGCCAAGTGAGAGAAGATAAAGGAATCCCATGACCAGGGCTGTAAATTAGCAGCTAGAACCATGGATGGATGGAAAAGATCTGTCTGTCTTCATCTGCTGCAGAGGCCTCAAGATGAAGCCCTCACCCCAGGTCAAGAGTGTTCAGCATGCAGAGCCATGCAGGGGAGAAAACAGACAAAGTAATTGGTGAGGTTTCTGTCTATCATTCCTCACATTAGGCACCACCTGTACCTGTAAGTGCCACCCATTTTAGCTGAAAATACTCCAAGTCAGCAAATGCTCTCTGTGTATTGAAAAAGAAATGGAACAGAAGAATGTTTCTAGCAGGGGAAAACCTAATGCTCTTTAGACTGCAGCAGGGTCCTTGAACCCCTTTAGTTACAACATAGCTTCTGAGGTATGAATGCTTGGGTCAGAAAAGATCTTTGAGACTCTTTCGCATAGCTGTTTTCAGGCACTTTTGTCAAAATTAGCAATGGTAAATGTGAAGGGAATTTTATAGTTCAACTGTAATTAACAGTTGGACTGCTGTCATTTCGCAAAACGACAAGTGCACTTGACGGATTAGTGTCTTTTCAAAAACCAACTCTTAGAAACTTCCTTATCCTGAAAGTCCACAGGTGCAAATGTGCAAAACCCCATAGAAGTCTTCGTCTCTGACCCTCACACATTCACATATCTGTACTCCAAGGGGAGAAAACAGACAAAGTAATTGATGAGGTTTCTGTCTATCATTCCACTGCACCACAGACCACTGTGTTTATTACTGAAGATAGCACATGTTTCATGTCTTTCAGCTGAATGCCTTCTCTCTTTCTTTCTGTCTTCAAAAAGTCAAGAGTTGTCTTAGTTATGAGGTCCCTGCCTGCATTGCTGGTAAAGATGAAGATGGCTTTTTGGTAAACACCTGCTTCTAGTATTCTAGAAATGAACCAACTGTGTTAATGACCCTGATGTACAGTATATCCATCTCATCAAATATGAAAACAGTTTGCACATGCACTCACATACCCATGAATCCACTTCTATAACTGGTTCTAGACCAATCGTAAAAGAAAAGAAGAGAAACCATAAAAGAAGTGTCTGATAAGGAAGCTAAAGGTGTTCACTCATCCAAGGATGGACCACCTCTTGACTTAGCTACATGTTACTTTCCCAGCCACGTCTGTTGGCTTGTAAGAAAACCAAGGGCCAAAGGAGGGCTTTCTGAGCAAATGTTGCATGTCTGAAAACTACTTAATAGTGTTGACATGGCACAGAAGGGCTGGCCACTCTACTTTCAGTTCTTTCTGACTATAATACCAAAGAATGCAAACATTTAGAAAGGTACTAGCTGTGGTTAGCTGTCTCTTTGTATTACTATGAAACCCTAAAAGTACTTGGGACACTGCTGATTAAGCAGAGGAGTTTCTATTTATTTAATGGCTTTGTTCTACAACTGACAAAAGAAATGAAAAATATAGTTTTTATGTAAATAACAAATACATTTATTCATTTTAAAAAAATCTTATTAAGTGATTATGATATACTAAATACCTAAAAACCCCATATAACTCCTGTTTCCTAATAATCTTACAAACAAGTGAAATAAGTAGTCTTAGAATACAGTGGGATAAGAGCCACAATACAATGAAAATTTTCAGAGTATGTGGACCAGTTATTATCTGTCTAGTCTACAGAATATATGCTCTATTAAGGGAGGTACTTGATCTGTTTCTTCATTGCCATGTCTGCAGGGTCTAGAATAGTACCTGGAATACAGCTGGCATTAAACAAATTATTTTTCAATAAACAGATGCATATATAATACATTCCATGGGGATGAAAAATATGAGTCAGACATTGAAAACAGATATACAGGAATTCTCTGTACTATCTTTGCAGTTTTCTGTGAATCTAAAATCATTCAAAAATAAAATGTTTGTTAAAAAATAAACCAGGCTGGGCATGGTGACCCAAGCCTGTAATCCCAGCACTTTGGGAGACTGAGGCGAGAGGACTGCCTGAGTTCAGGGGTTTGAGACCAGCCTGGGCAACTTGGTGAGACCCTGTCTCTATAATAAATCAAAAAAATAAGCTGTGTGTTGTAGCATGCACATGTAGTTCCAGCTACTTGGAGGGCTGAATTGGAAGGATTGCCTGAGCCCAGCAGGTCATGAGCACTGCACTCCAGTCTGGGCAACAGAGTAAGACTCCAACTCTAAATAAATAAATAAATAAAATAAACCACAACAATAGTAGGAAAAATATGGGAAATTATATTGATCATATTGTGGTAGAGAAGATGTTTATAAACATAACAATGAAGAAAGGAAACCATAAAGGTTTTACTTTACATAAAAATTAAAGATATTTGACTACATAAAAATTAAAATTTTCTGTTAAGCAAAAGATAATATGAATAAAGTTAACAGCAAAAAACAAAATGGAGAACTATGTGCAACATGAGTAGGATGACACTAATATCCTTAATAGTAAAAAACCCTTAATATGTAAAAAGCACCTACAAATAAGTAGATATCTGAACACCCCCTCTAGCATCTAATAGTGTAATATTTTTTTTAATGCATAGTTGAATTAATATGTTAAGGGAAATTCCTGGGTACTCGAAGGGGGATGGAAAGGAAACAAGAAACCATAATGTTAAACAAGTTTAAAAGCCTTGACTCTGCTTCCTGATCATGGGAAGCTAGGGCCTTATGTTTCAAAGGAGCAGGAGATAAGGTCTAAGACCCATACAAGGAGAAGAGTTATAACTGTTATCCTGGTCCAACGTTAAGACCTGTCAAAATGCTATATGCTCAGTGAAAAGGTGGGCTAGAAGGAATTTATTCACTGGTAAAAGGAGATGACAATAAAACCTGTTACTGATCTGAGTTCTGAGTAAAAATAAAAAATAGGATCGTGGGAGCCCAGCAGGTCGACGTTGGGGTGGCAGTGAGTGTGCCACTGCATTCCAGGCTGGGCGATAGTGAGACTCCAACTAAAAAAAAAAAAAAAATCAGCTAGAGATAAAAATTATTTACTAGGAAACAACATTAGATTAACAGAAGACTTCTCAATAACACTAATAATGATCCAGAAGTCATTAGAATAATACCCTCAAAGTGTCAAGAGAAAATATCTCTCGATCTAGAATTAATTCAGTTAAACTACCATTTAAGAAGTGTTACCAAAGACATTTTTAGACAAATGAAAACTGAACCAGTCCATCAAAAGAGGACTGGATAAAAAAATGTGGTACATATACACAGTGGAATATTACTTAGCCATAAAGAAGAACAAAATAATGAACTTTGCAGCAACCTGTATGGAATTAGAGTCTATAATACTGAGTGATATTTCATAGAAAGAAAGAATTGAGTATCACATGTTCTCACTCATAAGTGGACCTTGAACAACTATTGTAATACTATAAGAAAAGGATTGATAGTACCAGGAAACTGTGGGAGTGGAGTGGGAGGTGGGGAGAGCAGGGAGGTGGGGGGGCGGGGAG